AATCTCTGTACTTTAATTGTACTTCGTGTACTCTACTGGACTTCGTGTACTCCATTGTACTCCACGTACTTCATGGACTCCATGGACTCTAGAAGTACCGGAGTACGCCTTTTCCCCCTTGGGTTACTTCAGATGAATTCTCTGTGATGTCACACGAAAACTTTCACTCGCTGCAATTAACGTTGGCCGCTTGCGATATTCTTACATAACATATTAAACAAATAGCACTTGTAATTCAGCACATTCTGTATTTACTTTGAAGATTTTGTTTGATGAAACCTAAACATAAAAGTGTGAGTTATTAATAGATGACGATTTTCTCTTAAAACAATTCTGATTAAATTGAAAACTTACTAGAAATCAGTACATTGTAGCTACCAATTGACAACAATCGCTGACGTGCATTGTGAAACGGATCTGAAACCTCAAAGTAATTGTCACTCACCCATATGCGAAAGCTTTCTATTGAATCCATAATCGTAATTCCATTAATTAATAAAAGAGATCAAACCCAAAGATCTAAAAGAAAAATTATTAAAAAGTGAGCAAGAATCGAATATTAATAACATATTATAGAGCACTCAAGTTATCAAGTATCTAGTCTGAATATATAAAGGGTGTGCAACTTCATCGAAACTTTAATTTTATACATGAAATGCTATTTTCAACTACATAATGCTACTAATCATTCGCTGGGAAACTTTAGTAGAAACATTCCTCTCACTGATACGACGACTATTTATCATCAAAAAAAATACACAGAACCCATCCAATTCATTGTTTCTTTCTCTCCTTCGCTCCGATCAATGCCTTGCATAAAAAAATAACGCCAGCACTTTACGAAATAGCTTATAGGTTCTCTTAAAAAAAGCCAACTCAATTAGAAAAAAATATAATCACCTTATTCTGGTTGAAAACAAGTCGTATCATTCTGTAATCATCAGCTGTAAAGTACAACTAGTTGGTCAAATTATACACAACTTTGTTTACTAATCTATTTGTATCAGAGACGTGCACAGGACACGATTTTTTGTCCTGTCCTTACCTGTCCTGCTGGCTACTTTGGTCCTGCCGGGCGTCAGGACAGGGCAAAAATCTAAATCTCATCCTGTCCTGGCTTGTCCTGCTGACTTTTTTGTGTCCTGGCGGGCGACAGGACAATGCGTTAAAGCCGTGTCCCGGTTAGTGTTACTCATTTCTTCCGGTTTTTCTAGTGACTGAAGACTAATTATGAGTTCGAACATTAGCTATTGTTGATCAAAATAAACATTCCTATTAGTAATTTTAGAAATAATCTACTTGATATCATTTTCAAATACAACAAATATACCTTACATTATCACTTATTTATAAATACAATAAAATAGAAAATATCTTAATTTTCGCAACAAGAAAAAAATATAAAAAATATACAGAAAACAAGTTCCTACAAAGTTATTTTGTTCTTTTGCATTGATCTAATCAATAGAACATTGTCAAGCTGTTCTGGTTTAAGGTTTGTTCGTCGTTCATTTATAACCAAGCCGGCCCCTGAAAACTGTCTTTCGACGCTAGCTGATGTCGCTGGTATCGAATGAGTGGAACGGGCATATCGTGACCAATGGGGGAATTTGTCTTGACGTTTCTTCCAAAATGGCAAAGGATCATATTCTAGTTTTGATCTATCGATTTCTAAATTAAGATAACGATCAAGTTCATCGTTTTTTTTACCATGAGACGAGACTGCAATATCTTCGTCTGATTGTTCACTTTTTTCACCATCACCAAAATTATCTGATTCAAATAGACCAAATAAGTCTTTTTTAAATTTCTTCTGTAGTGGTTTATCAGTTTGCCGTTCATTGGGGGCATTGCACTCGATATTAATTAATTTTAATTGTTTTCTAATATGTTCATAACATTCAGCACGCTCTTTTGTCGAACATAAATGTAATGACCGGTATTTGGGGTGAAGAGCAGTTGCAACGTAATGTCTAATATCCAAAGTAAAGATCTCATTCAATAAACAATGGATTCGATTCCAGAAAAAATTGATGCCTAAACACAAAAGTTATTGACTATATTGTTAAAAGGCTTTATTAATTTTACCTCGTAATTCATCTATTAAATCATCATCTAATTCTGGCGATTCTTCTTTGGATTGACGATCACCATCAGAAAAGTTATAATCTAACAATGCCTTGTACGAGCTCATTGTATTTACTAATGTTTGAAACGACAATAAAACCATATACAAAGACGGAGAGCAGCCAGTTTGAATTAACTTGATCACGTGTTTAAATGGTTTTAATAACAAAATTATTTGCTTTATTATTTTTTCATCAATATTGTTGGTTAATTTTTGTTGCCGTTTAATGACAAAAATTCGTTTAATTATTTTAAACGATCGTAAAATAGATTCTAGAGTTTCAATCATCGATACCCAACTTATAGCAATGGATTGATGAACAGTTCCGCCACCGGAGTTCTCGGTCTCTTTATTTAAACCACTCTAAAATTAAATGAAGATTAGCGTTGTTTTTACATATTAGTAACGTTACTATGATGAGATTTACCTTCTTTATGTACTTAACTATTTTTTTACATTGGCTTAAAGCTATTATAACATTATGTGCTTCAAGTGGAATATCATGTATTGACATTTTGCGTACTAATTTATGGTTATTATATGATGAATTACCGTGAATTGCTCGACCTTTTTGCTTAACTGGGATTGATGGTAAAACATAATCATCATCATCTTCGGATGATTGTTCACTTGTTGAAACATCATTCGCATGTAATATATTATCGTCGTTTTGTTTTATTGTTGTGGAAACAATTGCGACATTCCTGTTGACTGTGGTTGGTACATTTGATGTTGGTTTCTTTTTATTGTTGGTATTACCGAAGAAAGCCGTCTTTACTATGTTGTTAAGGCGCTGCCCGAAGCAAAATAACGGTTCAAAATCACGAAAAGCAGCAACGAAATTGGAGCCTCGATCTGAGACAATATCAACCAAAGCCAAATCGTCAATACCAAATTCAACTAAATGCTCTTGAAGAACCTAAATGAGCATGATTTTAAAAGAATTATTCTACATAAACAATTTTGAGAACAGAACTTTCGAGGTAAATCATGCAGCTATTTTTCATTTCAAATAAGCTCTGCTATCACCTAGTCAATCGCATGCACTTATGAAGAAATTTTCATTCAACTGTTGAATAGAAGATCAAGTGCCAAATAAAAAAAGACATTTATCGGTAATACCAAAAAAAAATGTCATCATTTTATTTATTCCTCATAATATTAGCTTACTTTAAGCATTGAAGTAGTTGTTTTCACACCAAAAAAAGATCGGCAAAATAAAACAATCGAAAACATTCTATAATCAACATCAACAAATGTAATATTCAGACCCAAATAAGAAATGTTTTTGTTGCAGTCGGACCAGAAGTCAGGACAAATAGTAACAGCACGTGCTTTTAATGGTTCACTTAATATTGGCTTCATACGTTGTCTATATGAATCGGCCAGATCATAGATTGTTCTTGCAATTGTATAACGACTTCTAAGAATTTCATCTATGTCAATAACACCATATATATAACCTGATAAACAAAATATTGATTTTATTTTTGATGATTAAAACTGAAAGAAACATACCAATATTAACTAGTTCTTGTGCTAAGGCTCGAAACCCAACATCTTCCAACGTGGAAAAAGGACGCACATCCTGACATGCCCATTGTGCAGATAATTTTTTTATTTTATCTACATCGTTTTCATTTAATTTGATCGTTTTTTGAACCCATGATGTGCTAACGTTGATTGTCTGATGCTAAATCGCTACTTTCAATCGTTATTGATGAAGAACATGCTGCTTTTGAACATTTGATAACACGTTGTTTTAAACGTGTTGTGCCACTGTTACTACCATATACAAAAGTACCATAGCATTTGAAACAACTAACATAACCTGTAATTCTTTGAAATATATTCTTTTCATCTATTGCTGCAGGATAACCAAATGTTGTCCATCAATCCACTAGGGATGACGCCAATTCATTTTCTATTATTTTCTATTTGTTTGGTTCATGTTTAAGCAAAAGTTTTATTTTTTCTGGTTTCAGTGGAGTTGATGAAGAAATTTCATTAGGAATCATAGTAAATATATATTTAAAAGAAGAGGAATCTAAATAAAGAAAATATCATATAAAATAAAAAAGTGATGTTAGAAGAAATAAATAATAACTGTTTCTCGTTGTTTCTCTTTGTATTCTAAATAAGAATTTCTGAATCATCGATGATTAAATGTGATTCGGTACTTTTTTCGACTAATGTTTAAATTAGTGTGATAGTTCATTCCGATAGTGACATCTATCACTCACTATATGTTTGATGTGTCTTACGACAATGTGTAGAACATTGATATACATGTGCACAGGACAAGATTTTTTGTCCTGTCCTTACCTGTCTTGCTGGCTACTTTGGTCCTGGCGGGCGTCAGGACAGGGCAAAAATCTAAATCTTATCCTGTCCTTTTTTGTCCTGTTGGTAATCTTCGTCCTGGCGGGCGGGCGGCAGGACAGGACAGGGCAGGACAGGACAACAGGACCGCCCTGTCCTGTGCACGTCTCTGCTCGTAATGCATGTCAAAAAGTTTTATTTTCTATTTTGCAGTTTTATTCCACTCAATCGGCGTAACTTTTTGCGTAGATTCCGAATATGAAGTTTCCGTTGCAATTATATTGTGTTTTGATCGAGTAAATCGCGAATTACCATCTCAATTTCGGTGGATTAGGCGCTAAAAAGCAGTAGGCAAGCTTTTTTGGTCATGATTTAACCATCATTTGTGAGCTTTTTGAATGCTCTATCAATGGTAAAAAAATGGCTCCGGGTCTCAATAAAATGAGGGAACACTAGCTACTACAACTGACAGAAAATAACCACCGCTAAATAGTATTGTTAACATTTTGCAAGAAATCCTCCACTCTGACTAGAACTTCTATACATAATTTTGTTCAGAATAAAATTCTGTACCGAATGGTGTATAAAGCATCTTCTTTTTTGCTGAAAAAGTACCGACTCAAAATTCAACCACTGTACCTAAAAGCTGCTCACATGAGCAAGGCCGCATCTGACCTTATGTACTACGGATCAAGCTGAAACTTCTAGAAATGATATAAACCAACGTGCTCTGCAGTTTGGGAAACTTTCAGACTGAACCGATGTCTTTTTGAAATTGGGCCGAAATGACCACAAAACGTCCCTCGTCCATTGTATCGAACGATGTTGTCCCGTTTTTATTTTTTCAAATATATCCTATGAAGTCCTCCTGTGCAAATGTATTTATTGATGATAATGGACCATGACAATCATAAAGTACTTGAAAATGCTGATGTAAATGTAAAACGAAATTTGCAAGGTGTGAGAAATATTTATGATGATCGGCATAATATTGACGGAATAAATTATTTGCCGTAACACTTGTAGTATGATTGAAAACACTATCCGCATGAAGAAGACGAATACCAATTGTAAATAATGATATAAAACATAATTGATCAGTTGTTAAATAATTCATAAAATGCGGTATAAATCCATACAGAAGTAATTTTTTTAGTTCTATAGTTTTTATAAACGAAAAATCTTGAACTCCTCTCATCTTACGATGAAAAAAATGAGGAAATCTTTGTTTTATGAGTGAATCATCGATTCTTTGACGTACAGCGGGAGCAAGTGATGAAGCAACAACTCGAATCACATCGCGAAAATGCCTTAACAATGACGCATGAGCATAATCTATTATTATTCCATGTGGTAGAGGAACATCAAGTACATCTTCCAGTATTGATATACCAAGGTGACCGAAAATGTTTTGACTTTTTAATTGAGCTTCTCGAGAATGAACATAAAAAGAGTTCACAGTGCGGCAATTATTAGTTGGTGTGTATGGGTATTGTCTTTTGCGTGGTTTCCGAATGTGGACTCCTTTGATATCACAATAATAACATGGATAATATCCATTGTGGCCAATCATATTTGACATCAGTTTCAGAGCTGGTGAGTCACCAATACAACCGTATACTTTTATATTGAATGATTGTTGAATACGTTCAACTTCAAAACCTAGAAGAATTAGAAAAATTAATTTCAGAACATTTCTGAAAATCTGAAATCTTTATTAGTGTATATATATATATAAACAAACTTTTCTTAACCTATCTTTTTTAATTCAATAAGAGTGTGAAAGGATGATTTAAGCTAGGGGTGTGAATTTATTGTTATTGTTATTAATAACAATAACTTTTTTGTTATTGTTATCAATAACAATAACTTTTTTGTTATTTGTTATTAATAACAAAAAAATAATAAATAAATTTTTTTCTGAAAAACTCTTAACTTGAATTCCTGTCTATCTTAACTATACCAATCCTGGTAGTCTATGTTGAAGGAATACATTTACTATTGCTATGACATTAATCAACCGATAAATGTGAGAATTTGCAAAGATCATATCGATGAAGATATTTTCACACGTTTATCACTATTCAAAACATGACAAACTGATTGACTTCTGAGGCAATTTCCATGAATTCAATCTACTGAACCGTTCTTATTACAATAAATAACAGAAGTTCAGAAAACTGTCTGAATTCAGGAAGAATGTTCATTCTGAAATACTTGATAAATATTTCTCTCAGTGAATGATTCTAGGTTAAAACTTATCTTTTTTTCAGGATTTATTAGTTTCTTGATGCAGCACAGCTTGCAATTATAATTCGAAACGGTTAGGATTTTCCGTTAGAATATATAATATCATTTATTTGAACTAACGTAAAGCCTCTAGATCTATCTCGAAGCACATGTGATTTCATCTTTTTCTGTTTTTCTCTTCGGCCAAATGTGTTCATCGAATGAAGTATATAGATGAACGAAACCAACGGTCAGTTCAACCTATAACAAAAAAGAAATAAAATAAAATTTATCTATCATTCTCACATTTCTATCATAACATTTACTTGCATTGTTTATGCTTTTCTAATTCTGAAGCAATCTGATTTAAATGATGTCAACTGAAGAAGAAATGGAATATCAGTCTTTTACGTCTCCATCTGTCGATGCTCCGATTTCTTCTACTCGTCGTTCAATAGCTCGAAGACGTGGTCGTAGTTTAAATTCTCCTCATGTTCAAAGTCTCGACCGTAATTCGAATCGTGCCACTTCCACACCGAGACCAACTCGTCATAGTGGTCATAATTCAAATCAATCATCAATTCCCACAAACGAAAAAAACGAAAATGTTACTACTTCTGTTCTTTCACCTATTTCTCCATCCAATCCACAGCATCGTTCTCAATCACCAGCTCCAGCGTTGCCTTTCGACTGTCCATCGGATGAAGAACAAAATCAAAATCAGAACATGCATATTGCAACTAGATCGGGTAAAATGAAGAAGGATACAATTTTATCGTATTTCACTATACGATCAGATGGTCGATACGACTGCAATAATTGCCATCAGGTAATTTCCATAATCTCCTTGAAAATAATGTAAGAAAGTACTTTGAATAGTGGCTAGAGAGAACTGAAATGAAATAGAGAACAGCTTCGTTGTTCAATGCAGTAGTTTTATCTAAAGGACAAAGAATGGCTTCTAATAAAAAAAGCGTGTTGTGTCATTTTGAATAAAATTATTTTGATAAAACGAGTTTATATGAAAAATCAAATTAAAAACGTTCAGAAGAGTGTAAATCTATTCAATTAAACAATTGTTGACTATTTATATTGATAACTGTTTCACTGGTTGTTTTTTGTTTCTTTTGTTTCGACTATTATGTCAATTGAATATTGCATTTTTTTAAATTTTGATAGCCGTACATGGCATATAATGGATCAGCAACTAATCTACGACGTCATCTCTTCATAAAACACGATATTGCTGCTGCTGTTTATGATTCACAATTACTTCAAATCAAACAAAAAAAACCTGATGTATCGAACGATGTGTTACCAACTCTTCCAAAGATTCGTCAAAAACAACTAGATAAAGCAATTGTTGATTGTGTCATTGACGATTCGCTTCCATTTACCACATTCACAAAATCAGGCATGGTCAATTTATTAAAAACTTTTGATCCTCGATATAAACCACCTAGTCGATTCACCATTGCCTCTTGAGTAGATAACATCTACCACAAATATGTTGATGAAGTGAAGGTGAGTTGATGACTATACTGTCAGAAGAATATTATGTATTAACGATTAATATATAAGTTTATATTTCTACTTTTTCTCACTTAAATAATGAAGTATTTCCAGCTATCAAAACTTTCATGTGATGAAACTTCATTTTTGACTATCGATCCTTAATTTTATTACGAGAGTAGAGTTGGACGTTGGGTATTTGGAATGAGTGCAATAAAAAGCACGAACGAAGAAAGTAGCGATTTATTACTCAAATCTACTTACTCTTCTTCTACAAATATATTTTCATGTGTGAAGGAAACATTAGAGAAAAAGATCTAATGAATTGAAATGATCTCGCTTTTCCATTATCAAATTCTAAATTAATATCAAAATGTAATTCTTTTCTTTTTTAGACTCTACTAAAACGTGCACCGGGTGTTGCTTTTACAGCTGATATATGGAAAAGTGGAGCCCGGAAATATTATATTTCATTAACAGCTCATTTATTCGATAAAGATTTTGAAGTTGTACCACGCGTCTTATCTTTGCGACAATTCACTGAACGTCATCTCGCCGTCAATATTCAATCATTTATTAAATTTGAACGTGATGAAAAATTTCAAATTATGCCTAAGCAGCGAGCGGGAATCACGACGGATTGTGGACGTGATATGGTTGCAGCAACACCAAATGGTTTATTTGGTCCACGATACGCTTGTATTGCACACGTATGGAACAATGTCGTCAAAAATGGTCTTTGTCTATGGTCGCCACCGAATTCCACAAAGTTAGTTGTTTCTTTTATAGATGTCAGCAAAGAGAAAAAGACTAAATCCATTCAATGCAATGCATCGTAACAAAAAAGATAGAAAATCGAACAGGAAATGTCACTATTGTAGTTTAAGAAACAACGTATAGCCTTATTTATACATATTATCGGAGAAGAAATCGATACTTTCAACGAGAATATTCATTGTCCGCATCGTAGAGAATATCAGTCAGAAAGTTTCTGAGAATAATACAAAAACTGTAAACAGCAGTAGTTATGGTATTTTCAATGCAAATGCCATGTATTTTTTCACACTCATGCACCATCTTTTTTTATTGACCTTAGGTAAAACATGAATTATTTTAGATTTCCAATCGATGAAGGCAATGTCGATGTTAATGAATCAATTCAAAGTGTTGGTGGCGATGAGGATGATTTGCTAGACGATGAAGAACAACAAGCAGATCAATCGGGTGATGATGAAACACAAGAAAATAATGATATGACTACATCTCCATTTGATCAAATTCAAACGACGGCAGTAACAACTGTAGTGCACAACAAGAAAATAATCCAACCGATTCAGGACGAATTCTTAAGCGACGACGATGAACCAGCTATGATTCAACCAGAAACTCGGCTTATTACTCTTATTGGTCTTCTTGAACGTACATTAAATCTTCTCAATCGATGTCGTCAATTGGTTCATGATATGCGCAATATTGGTGTTGTCCGAGCATTTATATTGACGGAAATCGGGGGAAAAGGACGTGGTTTTACATTAGATATGGAAGTAAGTTTCTTCTTCTATTTTTTTACAATAAAACTAATTGAACCGTTGATATTCCAAATATATTTTTACATTTTCGATTGAAATGGATCTTTATATGCTTTCGAATACATATAGATATTATACGAAGAAACTTCATCCAGGAAAAAAGCTAGATAAAGACAATAACAGAGAATACATACGTATTTTAGATCATTTCTGAAGTGTAAACATTGAAAAGAAATTTCCATCCATTTTCAAAACAAATTCATATTTGAGTACTCATATCAGTGATGTTTCGTTAAACTACTACTGGTCTAACCTCAACTTCCTCTAAGATTTTTTTGTCAATGATCTATTATTTTTATATGATACTGAGAATGAAAGGAAAGAATTTATCTTCGCCTGCCTTGTAGTTTACAAAACAAAGGTAATTGAATAAAATTTCATTGACATAAGGCCACGAGGACGATGTACAACCTTAATAAGACAGAATAAACATTTGAAAATTGTACTTAATAAAAGTCTTTCACAAAGTAACTAGTTTTTCTTTCAGACGATCAAAGAAAATGAATGAAAGGTATCATCGATTGATAAGACATTTATATGAAAATGAATTTCATATGTGATTGATCTAATTTGACGCTAAAGACTAAACTTCTATGAGTGGAAAGATATCTGTAATTTTTGCTGCCAATTTATTAAAATAAATCATATTTTTCTTGCACGTTTCCTTCAAAGATTCGATGGAACACAACGTTTCAAATGGTTGACCGTCTACTTGAACGTCAAATTCTTATTGATACTGTTGTTCGGCGAAAATTCGATGGTCTAGCTATCGCCCAAACGAATAGATTAAAATTGGCTGCACTTACTCCAGATGACTGGGATGTGCTCCGTGCTCTTCATCATGTGTTAATGGGCTTTGATATTGCAACAACAATAATCTCAGCTAGTCATTATCCTACTTTATCTGATTCTTTTTGGGCAATTACCAAACTTCGTCAAATTTTAATTTCCAACCAAGATAATTCTCGTTACACCGAGGTGCTGAAAAAAAGTGCATTGAATTACCTCGATATTTATATACAGAAACATTTATCCAAGGAACAACAAGAAGGAATGCTCGTAAGTCCACTTTAACTGATCTTCCTCATATATAGTAGTTATAGGTTTTGGAGTAAGGAGATTTCTTAAACACAAGCTTTGCATGTAATTCCAGAATTCTTAGAATAAAAAAGTTTCTTGGTGTGACATACTTTTTGAGCAAAGCAGGAGACATATTTCTATCTCTCAATAACGTTTCGAAAAGCAGTATTGATTTTTCAGAGGAAATTTCAATAATAAACCACGATTCTTTAGTTCATCAATTTTAATCCTTGCCTTTGGATTGTTTCTTTTTCACAAGACTATTTCTTTCTTCAAACAAAGAATTTCAATTCGATTCTGTAATTTTATCCAAGGAAAATAAAAGATTTCTTTGCTTAGATAGCGGCTTTTCTTGACCCAGAAACACACAACGATTTGAGCGAAAATGATTTAACTAAAGCGATGGAAATTGTGAAGCAAAAGATCAAGAAAATGCCGATAACTGCATCAACTACAACAACTACATCATCTCTTTCATCGTCATTATCTCCACCTCATCCAGTTCTCTTTAAGAAACATTCTGCCAAACAGCTGATGAATCGATTGGCTGGAATCGATACACACCAGTCCAGTGTTAAATCAATGAGCGCTGATGTTGAGGTTTCTTTCTTTACAAATGCAATAAAAACAAAAGAAAATTTCAAACAATTTTGGTCTACTCATCGTCACTCATTTCCACGTCTTGTAACATTAGTTCATCGTTACTGCTTGGTGCCCGCAACGTCAGTCGCAAGTGAATCCGCTTTTTCAATCGCAGGGTTTGTCGCACGCAAGCAATGTTCATCATTATCATCTCGTGCTTTACGTCATCTATTGGTCCTCAAATACCGAAAAAACTTGATCAAGTTTCAAATCGAAGATGAGCAGCCTCTAATCCAAAATCGTCAATTTCAATCGTTGTCTCTCGATGGTGCTGGATCATCTTCTGTTTAATGGAATATTCGTTCGTTTGATTATGATACACAGGAATAGGCTTTGGTTTATCAAGTTCTGAATATTTACTAGGTCTTTTATTTTTCTATTGATCTTAATTATGTCAACCATATGGCTATGTGTTGAAACAAGTGAATGCTGTAGACCTGAGCTGTTTACATAAACATTTGACAGATGGGAATTGAAATGACTCGTGAGAATTGGTCCAGTATTTCTTTATTTTACCAATCATGATCTAGAAAAATAAGCTTTAGTCTACATACAACTGCCATATACTTCTACATTACGACCAATTGTTGTCAGAGATACTTATCAAGTATTTCAGAATGAACATTCTTCCTGAATTCAGACAGTTTTCTGAACTTCTGTTATTTATTGTAATAAGAACGGTTCAGTAGATTGAATTCATGGAAATTGCCTCAGAAGTCAATCAGTTTGTCATGTTTTGAATAGTGATAAACGTGTGAAAATATCTTCATCGATATGATCTTTGCAAATTCTCAAATTTATCGGTTGATTAATGTCATAGCAATAGTAAATGTATTCCTTCAACATAGACAAACAGGATTGGTATAGTTAAGATAGACAGGAATTCAAGTTGAGAGTTTTTCAGAAAAAAAGTTATTTGTTATTTTTTTGTTATTAATAACAAATAACAAAAAGTTATTGTTATTGATAACAATAACAAAAAAGTTATTGTTATTGCTATTAATAACAACTGAATAACAATAACTTCTCACCCCTAATTTAAGCCATATGTTCACATTTGGCTCCGTGTAGCCGATGTACATCGATATTAGAAATACATTCGCACGACGATATCGCAACTCTGGTGGAAGTTCGATAATACTGGCATCACAAATCCATAGCATTAGCTTTGAAGATTTCACTAAACCTATCCCATCTACATGAAGAAGTAATGTTAATAAATTCTCTGTGGAATGCTGTTGTATTAAACGTTGATAAACTTTTGCGAATGGTATATCAAATTTTGTTTCTTGGTTAGGATTAAATATAAGTTTTTATATTCTTCGATATCTAATGCAAGTCTGAAAACAATATTTGTTAATAAGCCGTGTATATCTGTATCAAGACATACATGTCGAACTTGAAATTTGAATTCAACTGAAACTTCAAGTTTCAAGTGTCACCTTTCAAGTTTCAACTTTCAACTTTCAAGTTTCAAGGGTGTGGGTGCCGGGGAAGGGAGATACGCTTGTTTACACACACATATGTACCCTTAATGTGGGTGCCTGGGAAGCAGTAGTGTCAGAGCAATAACGTCAAACCTGAAACTTGAAACTTGAAACTTGAAGTTTCAGTTGAATTCAAGTTTCAAGTTTGACACTACTGTATCAAGAATATGAGCATTATATTTTTTTTCTGTTTTAACACAGTGATTACATAAATTTTGTTTTTTCTCCAGTTCTTTTTCGCAAAGAATGCAAATTGTTCTTTTCTTAAAATAATTGGTCACATCAAGTCGTTTTAAAAGTGAATTCATATTTTTTGGCATTTGATTCGGACATGGTAATATAGACTGAATAAAGGATAAAAAATGCTCGGACTGCTTTTTACTAATTTGTGATTGTCGTATTAGTTGTAAAAATTCGAGCATAGCACTTTTTACTGAAATAGGAGTAAATGAATGCAATTCAGAATCAACTTGATCAATTAAAATTGTATCAATATTATCATCATTGGTGGAAATAGAATCTAAAATATATAGAGATAGCATTTCAGAAAAAAATTATTTTCACAAGTTTTCAAGGTATATTTGAATTCTGTAACTGAGTAACGAGCTAAAGTTAATGCGTGTTTCAGGGTGTGAGATCTCTAATTATTCGGTTATGTTTGAACTATAATGAGCAAAATGTTGAGCTTACAAATTTGAAATAGAATTCAGTGACCATAGAGATCTTTATCTTCAAAATTTCTCCACGTATGAGAAGTACTATACCCAACAACTAATTAATTGCCATTTTCTATTAATATTATATTATATTAAATATTTTTTATCGAAAAGAATGCATCAAATTCAGGGCCGATACTAAACGAGTTGACTACTTTTCTTGCGATCTCTATTCGATCATTATAGCGCCTATACTTTTGACAAAAGGAAAAATGTATTAAAATTACATTCATTGGTATTAACAAATATGCTCAAACTTGAAACTTGACTCGAATGTATTGCATTCGCATACTCTAACTTTTCAAAGAATTGAAACCAATCTACTTTACCAATGAAAAAACACCGTTCTCATAGCACTACTTGAAATTAAGGCATCAATATCGATAACTTAAGCTTTAGATATTCTATAATTTGTTAAGAAAAGGCCCAAAATCTCATAGAAAGTTTTTAGTTGAATATAATAGCGGCTTTAAAAGAATATTAATGGACATTTCTATACCTGAATCGTCATCGTTGTTTTGTGAAAGTGGACTATCTTGTTCACTGAGAAAATCATCAATATATTCTTCAAATACTTGTTCTTGTGAAAATTCTAAATTTGGATCAAATAAATCAATTATGTTCGTTTGTTGTGAACTATTAACTGGTCGTGATCTTGCGCTAACTATCGATGTTGCAGTAGAGCATAAAGAGCACTGTTTCTTTTAAAAACAAATCATTTTTTCTTGGCAATATTTTTCCTTTCTTTGTTTTTAATGTTTTTATCCTATGCTTTGTAAATGATGTAATATTATTTGACAAACGCTTCCGGTATTGATATCGATGACGACGTTGTTTGTTCAAGTTGTCTCGATCTTCCTTTGCTTGTGCAACATAATCACTCATTAACAAAAACGAATAACTCATCTAAATAGAACACAGCTTAAAATCACAAGAAATGATCATATAAAAGCCTGGATAGAAACATAAATTTTCATGCACAGCCAAGTGAAATCCGAAAAGCGATGAATAGAGAAAAAAGGAAATATCATTTTCCATTGCTTGATGGTGATTCAATTCAAGTTTAAATGTAGAACAAGAATTTAAGTTTTCTTCTTAGCATTGTTTTGGGAAAAAAATTAGCGATTATTTTTGTTCATTTTCGTCGAGTCGTCAGAACTTTGAAAGTAATATGAAGAGGATATAAAGATAGTAATTTCGCTTGGGTTGTAAACTTTAATTGTATCAATTATCAGCGTCTTCCAAATGCAAGGTTCGAACAAAAAGTCAGCGTAATTTTCATTGAAATAATTATCAATGACTTATTACTATTAATCGAAATATCTGCAATCTGCTCGTTCTAAACCACCTTTACAATAGCTCTAATTAGTAGCTGAATATTCTCGTTGTGGAGCTTTGCTCTATTTCATTTTCATATTGTGTAGCATATCCTGCTAATTAGAAGCACACAATATATTTTGGATATACAATTAGATTTTTTCGAACCATTTGTAGAGCACGAAATGTAGGGACAAATCTAAAAGATATCATCATATAGGGCACTGTCCTGCAACACCAATATTTTAACTTTTCCTAATATGATTCAAAAATAATTTCTGGATTATGTATACATCTTAGATATGAATCAATAGTATTTATTCAATACAAAAATTGAGTTGTATATAGAAATTAATGATTTCGAAGGTTCAACAACACCTTTAGACCTAAATGCTAACAAATACTAATCAATGCAGCACACTTTTTATTTATTATCACCATGGCCTCCTTATACAAACAATGAGATGAACGGTTTTCGAAAAATAAAGAAGAGCACGGCCGATCATGTACGAACAGACAAGGTCAAAGAAGATCTGATATGCACAATACTATCAGTTTCTCTTTCCTACGAATCTTATTTGATCGGATAAGATCTGACAAGAGCCATCTCTAAAAATCGTGTGCGTTTATTGTCCTCTGAATCTTGTAAGATTTAAGCTACCGTCTTTGAGTCAGAATCTGAGGGAATCTTTCAAAAAATGAACTAACAAGATACGATACGATTTTATCATAAGATCATATAGAAAATCTTGTATGTGTAAGAACATACAAGGCCTTGTACGATCTGCTGTCAGATTTTTTGACCTGGTTCTTTCTCCCAGGGTGAACAATTGGACACTAAGATCGGACAAGATTCTGCGCCTGATCATATATGATCTTATACGATTCATACCACATCGTACAAGAAATCGTAGTCTCTGAAATCTTACATCAATTCTTATTGTAAGATTCTTGACAGATCTTGTTGTCTTGCCAGATCTTACTGTAAGATTATAGAAAATTTTATGCGACGGTAGGATCTGACAGGAATGTGGGCAGGAGTTAAGGGAAACTAACGAGTTAAGAGAAAATGTGGACGCCATCATGGAGGCACATGGAATTCATTAATGTGAAAAATCTAATTGGTTATTTTGCATTGTTCATAGAAATTATCTAATCGAAGAATGATTCATAGGAGACTTGTCGAATTTGAAAAGAATTTTATTGAAAACGATAGTTTTTTAGTTCTTTTATGTAAAACATTACTACAACCAGAAGTTGAAGTTAACACGGACTACTCAAATTAATATATGTTACTCATTAAAGCATAAAATAATCGTTGAACTCGTCTATTTTAGTCTAGTTATGTTTTGAAACTGATTGCAATAAGTAGAAGCACTGAAATGATTTTCTAAATTTCTTTTTATTATCACAAGATAATTTCCTCTAAATCAAACAAATAAAAAAAAGTAAAACAATAATCAATTACAGAAAAATGATAAAAAGAAATCATTTGCCATTAACAAAAATAGGATAGAAAAAATAAACTATTGCATATGATCTACTTGGATTGATTATAAAATGCCCTTGAGACAATATGAACACCTTCAGATGTTTTGAACAAATCATCTACAACAGTATCTTGCTTATGATCATGACACATTTTCATACCAATAAAATGACCAGGAATGTGACTTGTCGTAGCAAACAAATAATATCTAAATCAACCAGAAATATTTCAGCTTCGTCGTAAGTTTGAAGATAAAAGGATAAGAATACTTACTTTTGGTTTTGTATATTTATCTGATGAGGAACAGTCGCAGTCGTGATGGTATTGTCGGTATTCATAACCAGCACCATTGGTGGAAACACCGTATGAACAAACTTTGACTGGGTTAATGAACGTTGACCAGAACAGACAACATAAAGACAACAATAAAAAACAGTTTTATGCCTGTAGAGAAATCATTACATTAGCTTACCCAGGTTCATCTTCTTCGTTTTCCTTGTTATCAATGTTAATTTTCTTTAAGTATTTTATTCGAAAGTTTTCGGCAAAGGCGTGTCTGAAGACCATCTGTTTAGTTCAGCACCACATTTCTCCCGACTTCGAGTACCAAATTCAGCAATAATTTGATCTTGAATGTTGCCATTTTTCACACTAAATAGAAGACAGCTTTATGCTTCGTATTTATATGAGTCAACATTTATGAACTTCGATTGTGAACTACTCTAACTGACCCTGATATATTTGTAACTGAGCAGTATCAATAATGCTCATTAATAAGAGAACAAATGGAAAGATGCTATAAATGTTCATTCACAATTTGAACCTACTTGAATGATAAACGAGAGCTTTGATGAGATTTTCTTCTAACTGGACATTTCACATTGCTGCATACGGTTTCATATTCGTATGGTTGTAATAGATTAGCAATATGATTTGCGAAGAGCTCGTCTTCAGAACCAAAATAATTGATATAAATATTGACACATTTGTGGGCACGAGTTAAGGGAAAATGTGGACATAAAAATTATTTGTCCAATATAAAGCAAATTCAAAGATAGTAATCCTATTTCATGTAGATTTCATGTACAGAAATATTTATTGAGTTGCGTTATGAATCACCATTGAAAGAAATAATTTCTATTAGCAATACAAAATAACCAATTAGATTTTTCACATTAATGAATTCCATGTGCCTCCATGATGGCGTCCATATTTTCCCTTAACTCGTGCCCACACAGGAATCTTACAGTAACAATTGATGTAAGATTTTAGAAACTACGATTTTTTGTACGATTTCATATGATCTTACAAGACTTACTATCAGATTTTTTGACCCGGGCTCTATCTTTTTCCAATTTTTCTTTTCTCTCCTTGTGTCTTAGTTTCATGCTTGGTTGCTCGCTTAAATATTCGCGCATTCGCTCCTTCATTCGCCCGTTCGTAAGTTATAAATAGGATGCGTAGTACTGATCAAACGCAGTTTCACCAAGCAACATGAAATTGTACTATTCTCTATCAAGTAAGACATAAGTATATATCAATATCTAAGTTACGAAGTTAATCGATAGGAGCTTCGTATGGAACAATTATTTAAAAAAGGGAAATCAGGAACCCCAATTGCTCTAATTCAAGCTCTGAATGAATTATATGATGATTTAGTGCATTGAATCACATATTTGCAAGAAAAGACATAGTTGTGCTTTGAAGTATTCAACCATATTTTCATTATGAACTAAGAGGAAGAGAGAATAGGTTATTTATATTCCCAGTTTAGCATATATGTTTCTCGCCAACTAGAATATGAGGAACAGGAATCTACAATTGCTGATCGAAAGGATCAAGCGCAAACTTTACCTAGCTCGATTTTACATGCTACGGATGAATGATTCACAATTATCTCATACTTTTGACTAGAAGAAAAAAGTTTTTTGAAAAATCGTAAGATGCATCTAAGTCAAACGTCGAGTAAATTTTTTTCGTTTTTTTAATACATATTCTTGTTCAGCGCAAGGCGCTGATCATTTTATGTGGTTACCGTTTTTTTGCAAAGTGGCTTTTTGGTAGAGAAAATCTTAAAATACTGTGAAGTCCTCCAAAGTTCTCTAAGATGGAAAATCCTGCCTGGCCGAGGAAAAAAGTGCCATAACTTTTTTTCTTCTTGTTGTAGAGATCTCACGTTTTCATATTTGGATTCCTCGTGGAAAACGGCATTTAAAGAGGGTATTCAAAAACCTCAAAGTCAAAACTCGTAGTTTTGCCAAGAGCGACGGTCCCTATCACTGAAAACAGAGACCTCTTCCCACCAAAAATGCTACTCCTTTTTTCCGTAGATCGCCAGCCATTTTTCTTGATAGCCAAAAGAACCCCCATGAGTTGGGCTACAAAACAATGGAGAGTTTTTTTTAAATTTGTTTTCCTTGAGAAGCAATGTGAGATGGAATGTTCAAAGTTGCAGAACCGAAAAAACGATTTTTGAGTTTTTTTTTTCAATTTTTTCGCATCTTATTCTTTTAAACGTCTTTTATAGGCAGAATCTTGTGAGGAATTCGTTGGAGAGCCTCTTCGCGCCTTTAGATAGGTCTGATACCGAATGTGAAAGAGTTTTCGCTAACAGGTCAGCACATTCTTCTACGTCAGACAGTTTTAGCTTCTAGTTTTCTTCTTGGACTTGAAGTGAAGGTTTTTTCTATGTAGATCTATTTACAAAACTCAAACCATCAAATGACACATTCAAGTCACTGAAAGAAAAGAAATTAAAGATAAAGCTGAAAAAAACTCTACACTGGCGAAACGATGATACGGTTCCACCTCTTCAAACAACAGAAACAGATAAAATCAAAACCAAACACTGTTAATTTATAACTTAGTGTTACTGATACGAGTGTGAGACTTGACGGTGCCGTCACATTTTGAACTAAAGTAAAGTCTCATAACATCAGCGTACGATACACCATCTTTATAACTCTGAAGTGCTTTCCAGAATCTTCTCACCAAACGTAAATGCGTGTCTTTCTTTGAGAACTCCTCACGAGAGACTAAAACAGAAAAAACCAACTCAAGTTTTAAAATTCCTTGAGTATTAGAAAGTTCACTTACCAACAATATTTTTCAATAAAGTCGGAAACGTCTGGTCCGAGTATTTCCGAACAAATTGCTTTTGAAAGCACCACAACCCCTCACATATGTTTAACTCACAATGGAATTTAGGACAGAAATGAATTCTTACGTGGTACTTTTGCACAAGAAGTTCGAGACGAGAGACCTGTGAAAGGCGAATAAAATAGTAAATTTTTGGAAGATAGCAGAATATTGTGAGACTCCTACATTTTGAAATGCTGGATGAGTTGAGAGATGATCACGTAAGGCAGGAAGTTTGAATTTTTCGGGTTGGGCAATACCTAACTCTTTTGCAATGACGTCGAGCCCTTTACTTAGACCCTTATTTGGGCCACTCTGAAAGAAACAGTCGATTGATCTTGCTTTTCCATTTGGATCGAGATATCTAGACAATTGGAGAAGTTGCAAATGTTGGCTAAGACAAAAAAATCCGATTTCAAACTTACTGAATTTTATCAACAGTACACTTAGTGCCAACTGAGCGACTAAAGTCATTAACTGAATGAGACTTAGCTGTATGTGTACGTGCTTGATCGAAAACACATTCAATTGTATGTCCTTTGAAACATTCCTTAAATTCTATCATCTGGAACAGGCGCTCACACTGTCCTAGAACTGCAGCATTATCCAGATAATTATCATAACCAACGTTGAGTGAAGCGCTGGCAGTGTTTAGAACATATTCTAAGACTGTTGGTGCACCTAGTTGATGGTATTTCTGAAGAGCACGAGCATACTCCGCAGGATTTAAGGAGAAGAAAGGCCCAGAAGGATGAGCAACGACAAAATCGGAGATCATATTGGATCTACCTTTACTCTTCGAATAAAAGGGAGCAGAGTCTCCGAAGCACCATCTCTTTGGGCAACTTCCTCAGATTTGAAAGTTGACTCATCATGAACTGAAAGAGAAACGAGAGAAGTTAGCTTTTAAACCAGAGGAAAACGAATCTTCACTTACAGAGAATGATAGAAGGATTTTGTTTTGTTGGAACTTGCCATCCAGGCAACTGCGGATCGTCTGACACTGTGTAAAACGAATCTTGTCTGGAAAGAAAGCTATCGATGAATGCTTTTCTACTTTCAACAACATCCTGGCGTTCATGCCCCTCGAAATAGGGGCGAGCACCATTCTCTTTGAAAGTCGCACCCCACCGACGTAGATCGTTTCTAAAACAGGCGAAAGAATTCAAATATTTCTCTTCCTGCCTATTTCAGACGACTTACCTGCAGGACGAAACTGAGCGAATTAATTCGGAATCTGTATCTTTTGTTATACCAATAGTTTCATAATAAGCGGTGTCGATAAATAGTGCTAGATCCATTGAGGTGAAACTCGCAACTTTTTGAGAACAACTAAAAATGCAGAGAGAAAATTGTTAGAAGTCAAAAGAAATTCAAAGAGATCTTACCGTTCAAGTGTAAATTGTTTGGCGCTGATTTCGATTTCTGGAAAATAATTCCAGAAATCTGGCGAATGCTTTCCGCCGCGATTTTCACTGACAAACTCATCAAAATCCCCGGACAGAAAAGCTTTCGACCACTTATGCGAGGTCTCGCTTTTAAAAGCACCGATTTGACGTAGAATATTATCACTATCAGTCCATTTGATACCTAAATGTCTCAGACTCATGTACATAAGAACACTGAGATATTTCACTGGACAAGTAGCTTGGCACAACTCTGTAGTGACGAAAAAAGAAGGTCATGTTCTGATCTGGATTGAGTCGTAAAAGAAGCTACTTACCAAAAACATCAGCAATATTTTCGATGGAGATTTTATCTTGAAAATCAACAACTTCATCATCTGCCATGTTGTTTGAATCACTTTCCATTTCCTCAAATTCTTCAGATGATCCAGAGCCATCGTTTTCATCGACAGTGGTAGTTGAATATCGTTTTTTGTTTAAAGTATTCAAATGAGGTACGACTTTGGTTTTTCGTGGCATAGTGATGGATAATAACAGTTAGATTTGGCTTAAAAAGTATATCTCAAAATTGAAAGAAAACGTTAAACCTAATCCAGTCAGACAACATCGCATAGTACAATAAGGCACTATCAAACAAGTTGATATACTCTTTCACATTCGGTCTCAGACCTATCTAAAGGTGCGAAGAGGCTCTCCAACTGTTAGGTCAACATATAGGGGGTCTGTAGTGATTCAAACTTTCCTACCTGATCTTGTGATCGGATGTTGTAAACAGGAAGGGAATGGGATCTTTTCAAATGAACTTTATTGATAAAAAGTGCCGTTGGAATAAGACAAGGGATGAAGACACGACTGATCAGGATCAGGGGGAAAAGATGAATGAATGGACAAAGGTCAGACAGACAGACCGTATAAGTAGAAAAGTGGGGAAAAACGAACGCAAGAGAAAAAAGAAGAAAAACTAGGACAGGTGATTTCAGAATAGCAAGGGGGTAGGGGCTTAAAAACACAACAGGACATCCTTAAAGTTAGCGTCAACTAAGTGACATCTGTTGACGCTAACACCAACGAATTCCTCACAAGATTCTGCCTATAAAAGACGTTTAAAAGAATAAGATGCGAAAAAATTAAAAAAAACTCAAAAATCGTTTTTTCGGTTCAGCAACTTTGAACATTCCATCTCACATTGCTTCTCAAGGAAAACAAATTAAAAAAAAACTCTCCATAGTTTTGTAGCCCAACTCATGGGGGTTCTTTTGGCTATCAAGAAAAATGGCTGACTATCTACGGAAAAAAGGAGTAGCATTTTTGGTGGGAAGGGGTCTCTGTTTTCAGTGATAGGGACCGTCGCTCTTGCCAAAACTACGAGTTTTGACTTTGAGGTTTTTGAATACCCTATTTAAATGCTGTTTTCCACGAGGAATCCAAATATGAAAACGTGAGATCTCTACAACAAGAAGAAAAAAAGTTATGGCACTTTTTTCCTCGACCAGGCAGGATTTTCCATCTTAGAGAACTTTGGAGGACTTCACAGTATTTTAAGATTTTCTCTACCAAAAAGTCACTTTGCAAAAAAATGGTAAGCACATAAAATGATCAGCGCCTTGCGCTGAACAAGAATATGTATTAAAAAAACGAAAACAAATTTACTCGACGGTTGACTTAGATGCATCTTACTTTACCGAACCTAAAAAGGTTTCGTAAAGTCACACGAAACCTTTTCAATTTTGGCAAAAACCTGAACATAGCTTCGTGTGACTTTACGAAACCTTTAAAGTTCGGTACAGTATCGTAAAAAGGTTTAGAATTCGTTCCAAAATTCGAAACCTTTTTAGGTTCGGTAAAGTACCTTTTTTTCAGTGTACATATCTGCGGTAACCTTGAATTCTACGAAGATCGAGTTAACAGCTCTGATTCAAACTGCAAAAATAACATTGCTTGGCCAGACGCGATCATATTCGTAAATGGAGTTTTATGTGATTTTCTAAGATTACATGCACTATTTTATAAGGTCCTATCGCTGTGATTTCGTCAGCCGAAGCATCTTCAACAGAAAATAAATGAGCATAAAATACAACCAACAATAATTTCTTCAACACTTTTTAGATGAAAACATCTATCGCTAATTGAGAGAAGATACCAATAATTATGTGGCAGTCAAAATATGGCAAGATGCTATTTAGTCGAAGACGAAAGCAAAATAGATTTTTGTTTTCAAAAACGACATCTATGGATATTATGTTTACAGCTATTATGTATGTCGCTGGTTTAAACTTTGTACTTTTTCTAATAATGCAAAGACCAAAATGTAGCAATAATGAAGCTATGGATAATATATTTATTAAGACTCTCTATGATCCTTGGGTTGAAGAACAGAATAAAACAAATTCTTCATACTATCGCTTCACAAATGATACACGTTATCATTATGAATTTAAGTATGAATTCAGCTCTAAAATTAAAAACAATGATCATCGTCTAATGATACTTCTCAATGGTCGTGGTCGAATATGTGCCGATTATTGGAAATTTGCTGTTGGTCGCCGTATCATATCGGCATTGCGTGCATCTGGCTTTTCAATATTGACTATATGCTCAGACAGTAGGATGTTCGATATTTATACTCCAATCCAAGACAATACAGAGTTGAAAATGATTTATGAGTCTCTTCAAATATGGATCAATACTGTTTATTACAAAAGCTTTCAATGTTATCCTCGTTTGTATATCCATGGCATTAGTATAGGTTCAGCATTTGCGACTCTACTTTCTCGAGTCTTGCCAATTCAAGCACAAATTCTATGTATTCATTTTGGACAAGAAACAGCTTTGACAACTCGCTCTGTATATCCCAATAACATGCAAACACGTCTTGTGCTTGATCCCACGTATGCCAATTGGTTTTATTTTGACTATTGCTATAATGCCAAAACTAGACCTGTACGCAATCAGAGTCTTTGCCCGTTTCAAAGTGTTGAAAATCAATTCAATGCGGTGCCACCTACATGGTATGTTTCTTTTAAAGGTGACCCATGGCTCCCTATCAAAACCTTTCGAAGAATGCAAATAAAGATTCAAAACGATTCTTTGAATCTCGGAGGAGTACTTTTAAATCACAAAAAATCAGTTCAAATTGATATTATACATCCAATTAATGTAACTCCTACATATATGCAAGAAAACTTCGACTTGTGGCATAATAAGCCTTATGCTTCTCGAATCTTCTTCGAATACTTAACCAATTTTACAATTAGTAATAACAGTAAGCAACGTGGAACATGCCGCTGTTCATCAGTCAACTTCACTTACTGGGAAGGTTTTCCTGATATAACTTGCACATGGACTGATAAACGGCAAGCAGAGCATCGTGACTATATTCGAGATGTCAAGAAATTCCGTGGAACGTTTTGCGAGGATATTTGCGGTGACCTGGTGACTTACCATTCTATGGGCTCCCGAAATATTAAGAAAGCTCTCAATTGGATAACTGAAATTGATAAACTTCGACATTCATTGCAAATTAAAGACTATCTCACCAGACCTCTAAGAATTTGGATGTACTCAAAAGAATCGATTATCAACGATACACAACGTTTTTTGTCCACCAAAATCGATTGGACTTCAATATCGAAACGATACGAAATCTATTCGTCCGAGTATCATCTTCAGGATTATTTTGACCGAATGCGGTCATCGAGCTCGGTTTCTCGTCACAATCTCATTTGGACTGCCGAACCTCTACTTGCTGATTTTTACATAATTCCTAGCAATTTGATGTTTTTCTACTTTGAAACTCATCCGGAATCTCTCAATGATACTCAACTATCGAGCGTATATGAAAGATTAAACGATGGCTATTTTTATAAACTTTTAATGAATGTACATAACATGTTTCTTTATTCGACGATGACTTCAACAGCGAGCCTGATCGGTGCCAATCATGTTATTGTCTTACCTGACATAGGGAATATTGGATTTTTATATAACAAAACTCAACAACTATTGAGCAATGTTATTAAGTTGACATTCACAGGCACTAAGCAAAGCATCTTGTCATCGGAGTCAAAATCTCCATCTGGCTACGAAAACACAACTGTTACATTCAAATATGGTTATGACATAGTTATGCCTCCATTCATAATATTAAAGTTGAATCAAAGCGTGTCGCTTAATCGGAACATGTCGTTTACCCAAAAGAAGCGTTTGTTCTATTTTGCAGTCACTATCAATCATTCAAGTATGCTTCAATCTGTTCATAAACAGTTGTCATTTTTACAGCGAGATTCGCAACAAAAGAAACAATACAACAAGACCATTGAAATCAAAGGCAAACTATATGAAGTGATCTCAATAATGAGTGAACCTGTGGAATTAAATGAATACTTCCATGAAATTCAATCAAGTGTCTTTTTGTTTTGTCCAGAGACTGCTCACCCATGGTCGTCTCCTCTTTATGAAGCAATGCAATTAGGAGCAATTCCTGTTATATTAACCGATAATATTGTGCTGCCATTTGAACGATTCATCGATTGGCGATCGTTTACTATAAAGAGTAATATTGGCCATGTGAAGAGGATGATTGATAGTGTCAAACGCATTAATCAATTTGAAAACTATGCAAAGCCGAAACTAGAAAAGATTAAATCGCAAACTAACGCATTTCAATGGCCCTATGATCATATCAAACAAAATGGACGGGATAAATATGTATTTGTACCTAAAGAAGATTCGAGTGGATCAGCTAAAAACGCTCTGCATTATATAGCTCTAGAATTGCGATGTCGACGATTAGAACAATTTTATGGATTGACTTCAGATATTTTCTCGGTACAATCAGTACAAGCTCAACAGCTTGCATGTAAAAGTCATCCGAAAATTTGCCCGTGCCGTGATAAGAAACATTCTGTAGCTTTTCAAGAATATATGTAATCATACATGAATAATAAAATACAGTACGCTGCATTTGTAGATTAAAGCAATTTTAACTCCTCTGACATTTTGTCGAACGGCTTTGCAAAAAGGAAAAATCATCCAGGTGATTCATGAGTAGTTGAACGCTTTTCGTATGCCTCCTGCTGACTTTGTCATTCTCTAAGTTAACATTATCCTTCTTTTTGAATAAGTCTGAAACTAGTATGCATTCTAGAATGAATGGGACTGAACTTTCTCGATGGTTCAAATATAACATCCTTAAATTTTCCAGTATATTAATATTGCACGCTGTTTAAAACACAGGACGATCATGCGTACAGTTGTGCAGGAAAGGTAGACCAGGATAGATTTAACTTATTTTGGGCCTATGGGATCCTAACAGACTTATTCTTCTTTTCCCCTGTGTTAAGTGACTGTCCAAGTAAACAAAAAGTGAAGGGAGACTGCAGACATGACTAGTCAGAAATATCCGCAGAATCCGTCTAGTCTGAAACGTCTTGCATAGTCGTCTTGACTAGTCGGGTTAAGGAGGAATGTCCTTGAACCCAGTCATGTCTAGTCCGTTTTGTCTCTTGACCTAGTCCAGACTAGTAGGAATATTAGAAAAAGAAGTTACACGGTGGGTTTGAACATCCAGACCGACAGTGTTAGAAATATGACGAGCATCCTGACGACAGACTATGATACTGAGATAGACTGTCATCAGTGTATATAGTCTAAAACATAGATTGACTCTCATCCATGCATAGAAAATCAGAAATACGCCAATGAAAACGGCATTGACTAGTCCGAAAAATCTTCGACAGTTGTTAGGACTAGTCTGAAACGTCGTCTGGATACCTCACGTCTAGTCCTTTTTTAAGAAGTGTGTATTCCATTCAATGCTTATCGATTTTTTTCCTAGCTAGAACAAAACTCAGAGAGTCTGCCGCAATCAATAATGCGGCCAAAGAGATACAACGTATTCCGAGTATCCCTGTCTTTATATATTTTATTATATTTTAACTATCAACTGTAGTAATTTTACATTCAGCGAAGATACTTTAATTATCAGATGAATATACAGCGATTTAACTGTAAAACTAAACTAAAAAATAATATGAAAAAATTTAGTTTTTATTGTACACAAATATTTTTAAAACCCAACTAATTAATTCCAGTAGTTTATAATCAAAATATATTTATCGAAAAAATTATAAAATTTTCTTAACTTATTTTGTTTAATGTTATCTAAAGTAATCGAGTTTCGGTAAATGATAATTTTTATTTACACATAAAATTATAAAATTTGGAGCAAAAATTGAATTAAATAGCATCTTAGAATGATCATAAGCGTGTAGACTACACTGTAAAAAAAAGGTAGAATAATAAACCCTTTAAGGGTTTATGAAAGTGCAACGTAGACTAAACCCTTTTTACCGTATGTCAAAATTTTCATAAACCCTTTCATAAACCCTTCTAAGGGTTTATTACTTATATCTACCAGATTAAAATTAAGGTTTTGGAACTTACTGCGTTGTCCTAGGTTCGATCATGAGATGAATTGGTTGATAGTCCAAGATGTTATCCATTCGGTCAGTCGTATGATATCAAGATGAAGTAAGAAATGCTACTTAAATCAAACAAAATTTTATAGGAAACTGAAGATGATATAAAGTTAAGCGGAACAATTGTTATTACATTTTTAATTTTCATGAA